CTTTCCCCATGCAAGTTCACTTCTGCAGGATTTAACTCTTTGTTTTATCTCGAGGCCTCGGTATGGCAAAAATGTTGGCCGTTTTAATGAAAGCTTTAGCTAACCAGAGGGACCAGATACAGAAGTGAGTTACCCTGGCTTAATAAGCTTCCAGAAATCAGCTGAACTGTGGTAATTAAGTGCACTCCTAGCCTGTGGCAAACACAGGGCAAAATCCATGAACACAGACCTTTGATGGTAAACATTTTCTGCTAATGTAGTTTATTTTCTGCCTCTTGTGTTAAGAGCACAGACACAGCTAGGATGAATCAGACAGTGTGTAATGTTAAGCCCCGGTAATTCACTTTTGTCTCTGAGCTGCAAACTGGTAAGATGCTGCTGTTGATAAAGATGGAAAGCTGGAGTCCCAAGCCTGCATGCAGGGTTTGTACACGCTCCCAGAGCTCTGCTTATGGCACCGGCGGGGCACAGAGCATATTGCTCAGCTGAGGTCTAGAACTGTGGCTGTTGGTTACCGTTAGCATCTGGCTGTGTGTGCATTGTGAAATAGGGATACCTACAGGACAGTTGTCTGCTCACTGGGATTTGGCACCTTGTAGCCCTCTGATTTGGCAGCTTCCGTGGTGCTTAGCAGCATATGGCTGCTCCATCAGGCATGGGAGCCTTGGTGAAAACAATACTTTGTGGTGGCAAGCAAATAAACAATTTTGTGGCTCTTAAAACAATTCCTGATAATTGAATGCAAAGTTCAGCTTAGTATATCTTTGAAGGAGATTCTGTCAATTGTCTGTGGCAGTTTGGTCCCTTTTCCCTTTTAAATGCAGTCTTAACAAATTATTTAATGCAGTATTTCATCTATATCTTCCCTTGAGTCCTTTCTCCAGACTGAACCTGCCCAGGTCTTTTTCTCAAGCTTTAGTCATTTGTGTTGCTCTCCAACTACACTCTCCTTGGCTTCTGTCTCTTACACAGAGCACATTGCCCAGCAGAGCGAAATATTTAGCTTTCAGCTTTGTGGCATTCATGTACCGATGCACCCGCGATATAAAACACAGTGGAACTGGAAACAGTTTATAACAGCCATTACTTTTGTAACTCTTTAAACTATTTCACACTTCATTTGGAAAGCTCCCCAGTGGTAGATGGCTGGAGCGGGCTTGAGGAAAAACTGAAGGGCATAGCTCTGCAAAAGACATTATTGGTGAATAGCAGTTCTCATGTATTTTTTCAATTTTAGAAAGAAACTGTTTTGTACAAACCTGAAAGAAAGTAGAACAAAGGTTTCTATGGTCTACACCCTGAAAGCATTGAAAAGATGTCTTTGAGTGGTGCTAGTTAGATGAGTAGAGTTACACACAGGATTCAGAATTTAAGATTGCAGACATGGTGTTCTCTATGTTGCTGATCACTCAAACTGTAAACTATTTTTGCAGATTTTCTGCAATTGTATTGCATGTTTCTCCTGACTGAAATGTTTCTATATCTAGCTGTTTATATATTTTGTTGGATAGGTATTTATCTTCCCAGTACTGTGGTATTTCATGTCTTATCTGTTTGAAACATCATAGGAGGTTGCGTTTTGGTTTTATTTCAATACAGATACATTCTCTTACTGGGTTATGACTTTCTTACTCTCATTAATATCTGTTCACTCTGTGTAATTAATCAATACATTTTCATTTTCTGTGGAAAAAGTAAACAAAAAAAAAAGTCTTATCAAGATTAATATCATCTATAAAGACAGAAAATTATTTGTTTCTCTTTTTTGAAGAGCTATAACCTGGGTAAGGTATTCTCTCCCCCTTCTCCAGTGACTTCTGTATTTTTATTTATAAAACAACCCTACCTCAAAGATAGGCTTAAGTCATATAACAATAAGAATCATTATTAGGGAACCTGTAAAGTTAAATTCTTTATCATCTTCTCTGGTTGTGGATTTTGAAGCACTTTGTATATTGGTATAAAGTACAAAGAGTCTGCACACCACAGATAGCTTCAAATGTTCACGTTTCCTTAATTGCTACCAAGGTAAGTGGGATAATTTGCTCCAGACTTATGGCTACTGTGGCAACTAAGAAACTGACTGGAACATTAAATTGACAGACTGTAGTGGGTTTTATAGGCTTTAGTGGATCAGAGGTTTTGTCTGAACAAGGAAATGGCATGCAGTATCCTGCAAACTGTCTGAAAACACAAGGTGAAAGCTGGTGGTCGGTTTTGCATTAACTTTCTTTCCTTCAAAAAAAAAATCTCAAGAAAATAAGGGACGCTAGGTGCGGATTTTAATTTTAGCATTAGAACTGGTAGGGCAGGTGGAGCCTCTCAGGCAAAAGCTTCATCTGTCTCCTCTCCTGCTGTAGGCTTGAAAAGCAAGGACTAGTTCATATCCTGAGTTTCACCCACCCCACAAGAAGTGTGGCATGTGCTCGCTCTTCCTTCCCCGCCATCCCAGCACCCAAAGCTACTCTCTTACATATCTGTCTTTCCAGAGACCAAGGTGAACACTATAAAATTAGATAAACTCACTAACGTTTTTGGTTTCATTTGGTTTTGTTTGTGGTTTTTTGTTAACTTGGACTGAAAACACTTAGTATAAACACTAGGTAAGACAGACAGAAGTTCGTATCCTGTTCTCCCTTTCCCTGCCCCACTGAGACTTGACATCCTCTTTTTATTTTAACTTCACCCTTATTTCAATAGCATGGAAACCAAATTGCCCTTTAAGTAAGTG